TGCCTTAAGATGCTGTATTTCCATAGGTGCAGTTTTGTAGAAGCACAGAAAGCCAAGGATGGGTGCTTCTAAACCAGTAGGCAGATCAGGCTGCTCCCAGCTGAGTGTAGCTGGCTGGGATGCTGCTGGAGCACAGGAAGGAAACCTTGAGATATCCCTGTTCAGCAGGTGCCTCTTTCAAGTAAGTCAAATTGTCACAGCTCTGAAAAAACACAAAGTTCTTCACCCTGCTTCATTATAATTTAGAATTTATTGCCCATCTAACTCATAAAGGGAAAAAAGATTTATAACTGAGCCAGTCAGAGAGGCTGCCCAAGCCATGAACTGGGGGTGTTCAGCAAGGCCTAAATTCAGGCCATAAGTGCTTTTATTGGAGACTGTAAATCACCTTAACTGTTCTACACTGTGGCAACATGTGAGCAGAGGAATGTGTCTGGCCTGTCCTAGTCCCAGGAAAGGTCCCAGATGAGGCCAGCAGATGTGTGAGCACATCTTTGAGCACAGCACTGGTGGCACCTCCCCTGTGCTGCGTGTGCGAGCAGGGCGAAGGGGCAGGAAACCAGCAGAGGTGCCACAGGAACAGAAGGCACAAGGGCAGCTTGAACACCCCATGGGAAGAGCATTGCTGAGCAGTAAGCAAACTGTAAAACACAAGTCAGACAAAACATCTGGCAGCTGCTTCAAATAGTTTTCTGTCTGAAGGGCAGACAAGCCTGCAATAGTTTCAAATCAAAACATGTGCAAGGACAGGATCAGTGCTCCAATGTGCTTTGTGCAAGCACTGAATGAGGTTTGTTCCCTTCAGCACTGTTCTGTGTGCCAAGAAAGGTTGTGCTTTGGGTTCAGTTTTTAATTTTAATAAACTTTACTAAATAAATCAGTGTATTTCCTTCTCCAGTCAAATGCATCTCAGGCTTTGGCATAAGATCAGCAGCATTAGCTCTTCATAGGAAGCATATGGGAGAAAAGAGGGTGAATGTGCTCGGAAATGTTTTTCATAGTTGCCTTACCTTATGCAGGAGAAAAGGTGTGACTGCCAGAATAACTTCTTAAAAAATATGATGCATATGCTTCTAAGTTTGCACATCTTGGGCACAGGAAAATGTGCTGTACTGGCCAAGGACTTGACAGGTACAGACTGATAACTAGGTTCCAACAAGGAAGTTGTTTGAGCTCAGAAATAATTCTGTTCTGCAGATAAAGGAAAGAATTGGCAACTGTCCTCCACTCTGCCAAGTTTTTCTGTCTTGACACTGTCATAGCTTTGACCAGGATCCACTGTAGGTGTGTTTGCTGGCACAGGACTGTAACCTGCACCCAACACAGGCGTTCCTTCTGAAGAGTGACAAGGCTGCTGAACTAACAATGTATTACCAGCTACTGAACTTCCCCACTGAACACTTCCCTCTTGCACACTTTTCTAGAATTCCTTTCACCAAAGCCTCCACTTTGAGGAAGAAACAAAAGCTACTCCACTGCTTGTCTAGAGCATCAAGGATGCCAAGATTCTCTGCAGAATTGCCACATCACTTCTGTATCACCAGCAAGATAACAGTGGACAAAGTACCAAGGCCAGAAGCCTCCTATAAAGTGCAGGAACAGTTCCACATGCATAAACACGCTTAGTCAACAGCGGAAAGATGAGATGCTGCCAGGCTTGGTTTTCAAGGAGGCCCCAATACAAGTGGAACCTGCAGTTTTTAATGCTACTCAAAGGAGCAGGTCTGCCTGCTGCACACCAGCACTTGAACACAGGCAAGAGCAGGGGAAGCCGAGAGCCACCAATTCATTAGGACTTGCTAATCTGTGATATCATTTGTTGATTCCACCACGTCCAGTCCCCATCTCATGACTTCCTCCACTGTTGCCATGGTGTTGTACATAAACACTGCAGGCTCCCAGCCCAGAGCAGGTCATTTGTTTCAAATATTCCATGCAGCTGGAACACAAGCCTGTTTGGGTGTCTGGAGCTGAGCATGAACTAATACAGTCTTCGGCACCCGCCCCATCTTCTACACCCTCCTCAGCCTGCTGCTCTCCCAGAACCCCTCCAGCCACACTTCCAGCAAAGCAGAGGCAGCCTTCCACTGAAAGCTAAGGGGAAGCTGGCCTTGTTCACACACAGGCAGCAAATAACCATGTCACTGACAGCCACTACGTGCAACAGAACAGAAGTGATGACTATTGAGTATGCTGGATATTCACAGTTAGGATCTACAAACAGTTGTCTTCCACATGTGGGAAAAAACAAGAATAAAACATGCAAAATTCAAACATTCTTGCCCTGTCTGGAGAAAAAAAAAGAGCCAATGACTTCTTGTCTAAGTTCTCTTTACCCAGCACCCTTATAAGGCAGTTCATAAGCATACCTCTGAGCTTTAGTCAAGCCTCACAAGTCGTACTCTGTGTGTGAACTTATTAAATCATTTGGTTTCCAACCAAGCTGGTAGCTGTAGGCAAGACAGAAAAGTCTGTGGACAGAAGGAATTAAAGCTTTTGTAGTAACTGACAGAAGTACCAAGTCATCTTGCTTCCAGTCAGTTTGGAGAGACTTAACCTAACTACTGACACAACTCAAGAGCATCTCTGTTATCACCCAGATTAGAAGTGGAAGAGACTGAAGGTACAACCAGCAAGCAGTTTGTACTCCAGAAACAACCCATCTCTCTTCATAGCCCAGGAGTGAAGCCTTTTGTGCAAATGGATCTCAAAATACGTAAAAACAACTAATTTCTAACAGTGGGTAGGGAGTACGTGAAAACTAATCTCAAGTGATTTGAGCTAAATCAAGTTCATGACCTGAAGAAGTTCCCCAGAACACGTCAGCCAGCCATTTTTCAAGCATGTACAACACAAGAATGACTCTCAAACACTCAGCTTAACCTGCCAAAGCACCTTCTGTAATCACCTGTGCTGTTCTGCTTTTAGCCCTCACTGTTTTTTTTTCTGCTTTCCTCTATCCACTATCTCCCTTCCTAAGAAGCTTCCTAAGAAGCATGGTCAGATATCAAAGTAGGTAGCAGGTTAATTGTTTGCTTTCATATGAGCTTCTTTCCTGGAAGAAAAAAAAAGTTCTCTAATCTAGGAATATAATCTTCAAACCTGGACAATACAAGTTTGGCAAGAAAACCAGAGCCCTATTGAATCCACTTGAATTTATCTGAAAAAAAAAAAGGAGCATGGAGTAATGAGTCAGTTGTGAACCAAGTTAAATTAGAAGACCAATGCTGCTGTCTCAGATTTTACTCAGCTCCATGTGGAGTAGCCATTTGGACACTAGTGGCAGCTGTACCAAATCTGAGGTTACCACACCCTACCACCTCATACCAATGGCTGCAGTTTGTCCTCTACCTGTACACACCTTTTAGATTCCAGCTTCAGACTGTTACCCTTCCAAGCAGAGACAAGGCCACAAGAGCCCTTACTTTACCTGTTTGGGTTGGCTTCTTAGGAGTAAGCTCACCATTCATGTAGAAACGAGATAGAAAGGACTCCAATCACCCAATGCAAATAAAGCCCAGCATCAAGTAATATTTAATAAAGTTTATTAGGTTACTGAATATTATCAACAGTCCTAAAATAGGAAGTCAGAATTTAAAACTGTACAAAGCGATGTACTGGTGAAGTGAGAAGAGAGGGAAAGAAGGGAGCACAAAGAACATCAGAAGTAGGCTGAACACAGCTGCTTCCCTGGAGTTCTGGAAGACACTGGTTCAAGTTGAAGGCAACCAAGTAGGGCTCCATACACACAATTTTCTTGTGTCCCACCCTGTAACAGAAACTAGTACAAACCCCTACATAAAAAAAAATCATATAATATTAGATTTAAAAAGGGGCATATCACACCCCACCCAGTCTTGGCACCATTTCTGTGCTTCAAAAAATATACTATGCAAGTAGTTTAATTTTAAAAAAGGTACCCTACAGCAGCTGTTTAAAACATGTTCTTATACATACACCACAAATATATATATTAACATTTTCAACAACTAAACTCATTTGTACCTACACAGAACTGAAGAGATAACTCAAGAGCAAAAAACCAACCACACAAACATTTTTCAAGACAAAGAAATGTGCAAAATAACCCCAGAAAGGCAGCATAGTAACCTGTGGAGAGGTCAAGAGAGCAGCTCCTGCTAGTGAAGGAGTGTCATCCTCTTTACTTGGCTACTGAGGTGAGAATCTGTTTGGGATGTGCTGATTTTGCCTGAATTGCTTGTCCTGTTTATTGCAGCTCTCCCCTGTCCCCAACACCCAGCTCTGGAGAGGTTTAGATCCTTCTTGCTGTGCCTCTGAAGTCTCAGAAGTTATCTTCTGCAGCAATCACTTTCTGGATGTCTCATCTGCTGATGGTACTTCTGCAGCCACACTGCTACCACCTTCTACTGGACAACTTCCCATCCCCAGGCAAGAGACAGAGAGAACTATTTCTGTTGCATAGTGAAGTGGAAATTATGCACATGGTCTATGACAGAACAAAGCCTGGTTTGGATGATATTAAGCAGCTTATCTAAGAGAATTCCCTGGCAGAACCAGAGAAACACATTAATATCTTTCTCTAAAGCCTTAACAGAGACCAGGCTGTAGAGAAAGCAGACCTAAGATGGCAGGACCTATAGCTGTGTAACAAACCTCAGCTCATACAGCCTGTCTCACCCTATGGCAGGAGGAGTCTGTCCCTTCCCTGTCCCCATATCAGCAACAAACCCCTGATCCTGCACTAAAACCTGAAGTCAGGAAGAAGAGGGCTGGTGAAGACAGTTATGACTGTTCAATCAACTGAGTCAAACCCACTGAGAGGCAGAACAGAGAATGGAGCAGGAGAACTGAGAAAGCAATGGTGCTAAGAAAGCAGGATTCACCATGTATGAAACAACATTAGAACATGGTGGGAAGTTCTGGCAGAGATACAGACAGCAGCAACATAACCATCTTCTCCAAATTAAGTGTCCTGGTGGAAGGGTTCTGGGCTTTCAGGGCTTGGGGTTGTAGTTTGTTTTTCTGTTTTTAGAAATTCAGCAATTAATTCTTCCTGGTATTCCAGACTCTTCCCAACCCTGCTAGCCACCCAGTGCCTTTCCATTCTTAGGACTTCATCTTAGTATTTCCACTCCTAATGCCTTCCCTTCCCCCAAATTATGTTTTTCCCCTTTAGCTGGTACAGAAAAATCATTTACTCCTAGGCCCTACAACCCAAAGGCTGCAGTGCAGCCTTTTCTCCAGAGAAGCAGGGAAGCACAGACCTTCTATAAGTGTTTCTTTTGTGAGTGTGCTGGGGAAGTGACTTCTAAAGAATATAACAACATCAGTTGTGAAACAAGGATTATGCGAGAGCTTGCCAGGAAGGGCACATGGAGACTTAAGCTGTGGCAGGAATACTTTGGCCAAGGAGTTCCAACAGTAGCGATGACACGAGGGTGGAGAACCCATTGCTCAGTGGGTCAGCTCTGATATTTTTGTCTTGGTTCCAACTTTGTCTTTGAACATGAAGGTCATTGGTAGAGCAGGTAACTCTTGAGGGAGGCTGGCAGTGGCAGTGTAGGGATCTCATTCAGTCTTTCCTTGCCCAGAGCAAGTCTCACAGCTCGCCGACACAAGTCCATCAAAGGCAGTGGTTCAGCTGGGAAAAGAGATCCAAGACATTAACATCCCAACACATATTATACATTCCTCTTTTCTAGTTCTATAAGTCTCCCATAAAAGACTGAGCAGGAAAAGTGAATGCCTGGCACATCTGCAGCACCCAAGCCTTTCAATATTCACATAGCAGCAACTTCAGCTCATGAACTAGAACATGTTTCCATAGATGTTATTTAAGCCATACACAGGGGATGCTAGTGTTTTATTCACACAATGGAAGCTCCCCCTCTGCAAGACCATTCAAATCAGAACATTTCTAGCCTGTGACCCTTTCTGCTGTAACCACAAAACCCTTTGCAGTCTTTTACTTCAGTGAATCTTAGCCTGACAGCATCATGTGGTATGTGTACCCAAAAAGTACCATGATTTGTCTGATCTAGTAGGATAACAGCTGTCAACCCCTTCATTTCTGCTACATACTTCCCACAAAAAACAAAGCCATCTGTCAAAGCTTCATGTCACTACTTGTACAGTGACATTTTCCATTAAAGGATTCCCTCATGTCACAAACCTGGGAAAGATACAAGCCTTTGGCTATCTTTTTTTGCATCATGTAAACACTGCACAAGCTAATACTAGTTTTTCAGGAATGGTGCATGGGGCCCTTTGATGCTGAAGAGTCATTCACAACATAGAGGGGCCTAAGGTCAAAGCCAAAGTTAACACAACACAGCTGCACAGAAGGAACACACAGATCTGTTTCCTCACAGCTCCTGTTGCTAAGTCTGTCAAAGCTCACCTTTACACAGCATGCTGCTCAGGCCTAAGGGGCTTCTCCTCCCCCAAGAGAGCACTAACACAAAGACATCCCAAATTGGGCAGATTACTAGACACCCTTCTGATAGCCTGAGGGCTCAGCATGCACCATTAGAAAGCTTCCTTTACAGACATCTTGGGCTGAACAGACACCTAAAAACATCCACAGGAATTAAAAGGTTTGGCTGAGAAGCTGCAGTTTCCAGGAACCTTGATAGATGCCAGCAGCTCTAGGTTCCACAGCTACAAGCCAAACCAGACTGTTCATACAGCTGTTCTAAACAGCCAAGAGGGAAAGCTTAGTTTTTCTGAGCATGGTTGTGTTACTGCTTTTATCAGAAGTCATTCCATCAATAAGGTGGCTAGAAGTCCCTTCCTTCCCAGTTCAAAGACAACAGCTAAGACTGAAGAACTCAAACAGAAGAGTGTTGCCAGTAACCTCTGACCAGGTCACTCCTGATTCTACTCTGGAATAAGTAAACAGTCATACTGCTCTGTGTAGAAGACACTTCCAATGAAAAGTGGAGAAAGCTAATTTTTACCTAATTTTTGGCACAAAGTCTGTGAGAAGGAGAGTAGGTTAGCTGAGTAGAGACTTGCTAACAGAATCAGGAAACATGTGCTTGAATTGGCCTGTCTCCTCCCCACGTTAGCAGCTAGAGCTGAACTAATGCCCTAGTTCTGCCCTCTCCTTCCCTGCTTTGGATCACAAGCTATTACCTGCTCCAGGGGAAGCTACAGGTGGAATATTGTGTGGGTATTATTTTTTCCCTATCAATTCTCTGAAGTTCTCCCAGTGCTTCAAGCATTAGTTATTCCTGAGGAATCATACTTGCGTATGCACACCTTTTGCACTGATAGCTGGGTGGAGAGCAAACAGTTCTGTCAGGGCAGTGCTGCTGCTTCCCAAACTGCACCATTTAGTCACACATGTTCTGTGCCACAAGTCAAAACGTGGCTGTCCAAAGCCTTGCCCGTTCATGACCTACTTCTGGATCCATGTTGCTGCTTCTGCAGGGACAGGTCTCCACAGTTGGACTGCATGTCTCAGCTCTGGCTGTGACACTGCCAGAGAAGCCAAATACTGGCAGCACTCCTTTGGCACTTCCCAGTGTAGCTTATTGTTAAAACACTGGGGTACAAATATGCTGTATTCAAAGTCTGTCCCAATTCCTCCTGCTCTGTACTGAGACAGCTGGGACAGAGGCATTGTCTAGCCAGCATCCCAGAGGACAAGGGACCCTGACCTTCAAAGCCTATAGACATTAATGTAAACAAACACACTCCAGTTTAATGGCCTTAAAAGGAGAGAACGTTCTTCCCACTGAGATTAAGAACAAGAACTCTGTCCTCATCTAGTTCACCCTGATAACCCAGTCTGACCAGAGACCTCCAGGCTGAAAGAGAAAGCACACACACCTCTGACCTGCCTCCATTCACAAGCACTACACTGACTGGACAGTGTTGCTATTGAATGCTCACAAGTGCTTAGAGCCAGACACCTTCTCTCTGTCTGTGCCAAGAGAGCGTCCCGTCATTCCTGGCCTCACGCCCACCATTCACTCCTCTGCTGGGAGCACAGCACAGCCCAGGCCAGCACTGGAGGTGGCCATTTCCTTGCTAAGTGCAGTTCTGTGCCAACAACTCCACAGAGTTCCTGGCTTTGAGGTGAGCTGCAGATTTTGGCTTTGACCTGTCAGAAAAACCTGCTGCCATTCTGTAAGTTGTTGTGGCAGGAGCTAGGTTCTTTTGGTGAGGAAGGGTTCTGCCAAGAGCTCTCACTTTGGTCTTGCTGCATTGACATGTATGTCTCAAAGCACTCGTGGATTTTGCTCCTGTTCCTTTGCAAGGCTTTCCTGGTAATTCTGACAGCTTGGTTTTTCTGGTGCCCAGTGTCAGCTTGTTGTGTCTCATGTCACCATTGCCAGGTGTTTACCATTGCTGGCTGAGCATTGGAACATGCTCTAAGCACAAATAAAAGAGCCCAGTATGCTACAGCCTTCGGGCAGACACTGTTCTGGAATGCAGGGGAAACACTACTCTTTTCACGTCAATACTGCCAAATTTATTTCACTAACAACAAATCCAGATTTTAATCCACTTCCTTCACCTCTCTCCTCCACCCTACCCAGAGGACTGAGTCACAGTCTGGCCCCACGGGAACTTCTGACCATGAGAGATAACAGACTTTAGCACATTTGGACAGCCAAATTTATTACTAAGTGTAGTTAGAGATTGATGTCCCTATTAGTAAAACGCTTGGCATGCAAGTTGGGCTGGCTACAATATCAAGCCCCACACCAGAAATAAGCACACCCTGCCCTGAAAGAAGCAGAGAAGTGAGATACTTGTTTTTCTTTTAAAGATGAGACATTCCCCTTTCTTTAGATAGGGACAAATAATCCCACTCTTCCCTGCAAGGGACTTTAAAAGTCCTTTCATTAGCCATTTAGGGAAGGCTGTTGTCCCTCAGAGACTGGTTCCTGTGAAGAGACACCAGGATTACATTGCTAATAATACAACTGTCAGAAGGACATTCCT